TCTCTTGCCCTGAAGGAGAAATTCCTGGTTTGTAAAGTATCATCTGACAATAGGTGGAGGGCTGACCTCATGCATTTTTGTTCTTTAGAGACTTATTCATTCCACTGTTTTCAAGGTCCCCTTAAGTTAAACAGCATAATCTAGTTGAAAAAAGTCTCTAACCTTATTCACAAAAATATTCTCTCTACCCTTTTCTTGCGATTAATTAAAACTCTGCTTGTACCCTCAAAATAAAACAAAACAAACAACAAAAAAATATATTTTATTGCTTTCCAAAAAAAGTAACTCCTCATTGAATTTCTTAATTTCTTCTTCCCAAAGTGTTCTGTATGGTGAGAACATTCACTGATCTAAAATTACCAGAGGCAGGGCTAAATGTGAATCGCAATTATGGGCTTGTGAGTTGACCGGGAATGGCAGGCATAGCCGTGCCGGGCTGAGAACGGACGGTGGGTGGTTTCTGAGGCCGAGCCCGACACACATTGGGCTGGTGGCATCCCTTACTGTGGAGAAAGGCTCAAACAGAATCCAGCCCAATAAACGGCACAGATGAGGCCTCATGGCTTTGTGCAAAACACATAGCGTGAGACACGCCAATACCAAGTGAGTTAATACGGCTTTTTGTATTCTTTTCATAGAAATTAAATGACACAGTGGCATTATTTGTTGGTTTCACTCTACGTTTGCTCAAATTGGATTTTCTAAGCTGCATCTTCACAAACTCAGCCTCTGGAAGCTCAAAATGTGCATTTGTCAATTTTAGCCTGACCTCCAAATAAAAAATTGGTCCATCCAACCACAGAGCACTTACATTTTCCAATGTTTACAAGTCTGTAAGATTGGATGCCCCTGCAGTTACATAATATGCAAAGACCGAAGTCCAGTTTCTGTATCACTTCTTTCTCTATTGCTGCCCAACAGTTATCTCTGTTTTTGTGGGTGCTTAGTTTCATGTTTTCCTCAGTCATACTGTCCATATGTGATCCTTTTCAAGTGTGAATTTGTACCAATGCAACTGCGATGTTCCAGGAACACTGTTATACTTGTTGCTTTTAATGACAGAGTTGTTTCTTTTTGTGGCCAGACTGACTCCACATTACCAAATGGAGTTGTAAGATTGATGAATGAGATCCCACAGCAGGCCTCCCAGTGTCAAACAGCCAGGACATCACTGTGTGTATGTGAGGGAGAGTGTGTAAACGTGACTAGATTGGAGCAACTGCCAGATATAACCACATTACTCTTCACCATGGGCGTCTCAGTACCAGGGAAGCCTCAGGGCCAGGATGCCGCATGGGAAAGCCCTTGATTAAAACCCTACAAACCGTTATCCCACACATCCTCAACCAAAAAGGAAGTAAGGGTATTGCTTTTAAAGCTTGTGTTACTGGCTATTTTCAGTAAAATAACAAGGAAACACTTAATCCTTAATTATGGTTAGATAGGCTGTTTTTTTTTCTTTTCTTCAAGAGGCAAAAATATTACAAAAGTTGCATTAAAGGAAAATGAATGTTTTCTCATTTAAAGTTCAATGGCACTGGTTTAAGTTGTTCATTTTGAGATATTACAGTTGTGAAAGCAGTGCGGTAATAACGGGTTTCAGTGTGTCATAGGCCACGCCATCTGACTTACTGCAGTCAGCACATGGCCCATCCTACGCCGGGAATCGTTCAGTGTCACGCTTACTACCATCCCCTGATTATGAAGCTTTGGGTCTACGGTGAATAATTGATGCGAAAGATTACGACACAGCAGCCACCGTCAGGAGAAACCTAAGAGGTATCAACAGCAAGCCCTGACCCCAGGAGCAGCCCTGCAACCAGACACCCCACCGGCACCTCCGACAGGGCTATCCAGCGGATCAGTTGGCTGACGTGTGTGTGTGTCTTCAGTGGATCTGTTGTAACAGTTTTTATTAATCAGGCTTCTAACACCAACACGATGCCTTAAGGTGGATTGACAGGTGAAAGGTGAAAGGGTCAAACTCCCTCAGACATGCCATGTTTTTCATGTTTGAGAAAATCAGGGAAGATGTGTTGTGATACATCACCAAGACACTAAAAAAGACACTTATCTCAATGAAGACGAAAAATGGAGAGAAGTCAGTGGTTACAGACGGCAGACAAAGTGGGGATGTGCTGCTTTCAGTTGGGAATGCTGTGAACATTTTTTAGAAGACTCTTGCCTGTTTGTTTACATTATTTACGTTGTTCCAGTTGCCTTTTATTCAAGAAAATGTAATTTTAAGAAAACCTATGACAGAAAGACCAACATAAATGTATAAACCAATATAAATACCAAGGTCTCAACAAATGATAATCGGAACCAATACTAAGCGTAAAGCGTAAATCTGGCAATGCTTTGTTGGTCTGCTATGGATGAATATTTCACCAGCTCTATATACTGTAAGTAAAACATTTTTTGTGGATTCAGCTCGAGTTCCAGGAAGTAAAGTAATGTCGCTGTGACTCTGAATATAGAAAATGTTTTCCGGTAATCAAAAGCTTTGGTGGTTTGATCCTTGAAGCCTCCTCTGGCAAGCTACCGACTCCTGCAACAGCACCAATGCGAATGTTTCAGGGCTTTCGTTGAGTTTTTTCAGTTGGTGGCCCATAGCTGAAAGTGTTTTGAGTGGCCGTTAAGACTAAAGAACTATTGTACAATTGTATGGGATCTACATTCTGAAAGGAAGTCAAAAGTTTGAGTGAAAACGTGATTTAAAAAAAAAAGTTCTGAACAGGAAGAATGGGGCATAGAAAATTGATGGAACGATGAAAAGCCACAGAATATTGGTGAGTTTTTATTTTTGTGGTTTGTTGTCATGCCAGGTCCCAGAGTCCTCAGCTCAGACATCCTTCTTTGGTGCTTTGGCCACAATCTGTATGAGTGACAGTGTTTTCTCTCCAGTGTCCTGGACTGTCACCCAGCTGTCTATTTGAGCTTTAAGAATATGCAGTTTGGACGCATATGCCGACTGTGGTAGCTCGGGCAAACCCATCCATGTATGCAAATGTATATGCGTGTATTTGTGCACCTCTCTCCATGAACTCTGAGTGTCAGAGGTCTGCGCCAGGCACTGCGTGTTGCCTTTAGCTTTGACAGACTGGTCCTCGGGATCCCCGCAGTCCCCGGGGTCAGGGTTGGCAAAATGCATGATGCCCACACAAAAACTGCCACTCCACCTATGAAACAGACCTGTGTGATCCACACAGAATCTGCTTTTTTTCAAACCCTTTGAAGGAAGTTCAGCATGTGGGACACTAGATGTGAGACAAAGCCACTCACAGTTTTGGCCAGGAGTTTTACAAGATTAGGTTGTTGGATCCTGCTACATTCCATAAAGATGAATAAAGGCATTTGTGTATTTTGAAAGCTGATGTTTGTGAGGCGCAAAGACTTTTCCTCAACTTTCTACTGGAACTAATGGAAATATTTTGTGTCAAAAGTTGAAGTCATAAGATTAAATTAATTGTCTTTTTTATTACATTTTTAAAATTATTTTCTTTTATTTATCGTACTGAAACTGCAAAGATAGCTTACCATCACAACACACGATTGGCTGATTCAAACCACAGCTAAAATAGACTTCAGGGAACTTTTTTTACACTTGTCAGTGTGCTTTGAAATTGCACATTCATTTCAGGGAGATCCTGTCAGACGCCAAATTTGTAAAATTTCACTCAAGCTTTCAGTGTGTGGCTGAGGACGATCCAGACGACACGAGAGAGAGCAGAGCACATAACAGGATTTATTCAGTGCTAGCTTTTTCTTTGTCCAGCAGCACACTCACCTCCGTTTCCCTCACCCTCTGCTCCCCACTGTCCAGCCCTGCTACCCACCAGCTCTAAATCCTTTTTGATGGATTTTCCAGCAATTTCTCCACTGCTGGCACTGGAATGTGTGTGACACATGTGCACACTCACACGCTCCCTTTACATCTGTAGCCCTAACTCTATTTTAAGCGCTCTGCTCATGAGCTGATTCTAACTGTATTTGTCAACCAACAACTTTTAATGCTTATGCAGTGTCTTATCCTACTGCGGAAGCTGACAAACTGATTGATGGATGGTGGCTATTTAAACACTCACCAGTTCTGAGGATTTCCCCGAATTGATGCAACAGTAATGGAAAATTTGAAAAAGGGGGTAGTATTTCTGTGTTTGAAAAAAAAGGATAATAAAACAACATGACTTCATCCTCCATAGCTGCTGATGGTCAATTTCAACCTTATAATTAAGAACTAATATTATACAGATCTGCTGTGTTCTTGCTGTTTGCAAGGCTGTGTGGTGGAGATTATGAATGGGATGGGTAATGGCAGCAGGGAGGAGAAGAGAGAAGAATTTAGCTGGGAGCTGGCTCCACCCTACTTGTCATGCTGTGTTGTTTTGTTGTGTTAACCATGACAACTGAGTGAATGGCTCCATCCAGCTTAAGGATTATTCAGGGTGAGAAAGCTAAGCAGAGGATGGCATAGGCGAGATGAGAGGGAATGGGATGGAGCGATAAGGAGGCATGAGGAGGCGGGATGAGGCGTGAGAGTATGAAGGAACCAGCTGGGCAGGAGGATCATTATTGAGTAAAGAATGACACATTCACCTGGTAAAGAAAAGTCAAGTCAACAGCTAGAAAAGTTCTAAGAACATCAGGGCGTGTTTGAGACATGGATGAAAATGGTGAAACATTTAGATAACAGTGACCAGCAAGTCTGAAAGCTGGGTTGGCTGTTCATTATAGAAGCCAGTAAACCTCTCTAACATCTGGTTACTCAGTTCCAGAATAACATGTTTGTTTAAATGTGCATTTTATTATCAGCATCCTTTAGTCTAAAGGTAGTGGAAACATCAATGTTCACAATTACAGTTATATTTGTAATGATGTTTTTTCTCTCTAGTCGTTGTTCTCACTGTTAACATTACCCAGAATATTGCTCATGATGTCCTTTTGTGTCTCTCAGTATGTGTTGATTTCCCCCATATTAAAATATGTTTGCTTTGTAGGAATGCACCCTGCCCTGCTGCTAACTGGGTTGATTCTGGCTCTGTCCATCCCTGGCACCACCTCTGAGTCGGCCATATTGCGGTTCCTGGGACAGACTGACTTTGTTGTCAACGAGAGCAGCACAGCTGTGGTCCGACTGGTGGTAGAGAGGGTTGGAGACCCTGTCAATGTGACCGCTTTGGTTCTGGTAGGTCAAGCTTTTCACCGATCCGGCTATCTGCATCCAAAATGATGGAAAACAATGTTTCTCTCATAAAGACATGGAGTTGTTGCTGTAATGTTGTCAACCCACTCATGCATTTCCAAATCATTAGATATTTTTATTCACAAGTTTTAATAAAACTTGTTATTGTTCTGGTTATGTTATTGAACATCGTGGCATAAAAAAACTCTTATACTACCTTGTCATTACATTGGATGTGTAAGCATACCAATGAAATAAATGAACAAACTTTTATCTGTACAGCAAAGAGCACCCACTGACCTTGTTATTTCTTATATTCATTGAAGGAAAGAATTAGAAGGCTCTCAATAAAGAGAAAACAATGAGTATGCCAAAACTAAAGCAGTAACAAACAGATTGCGGCTTTATGCCATCCACTTGGAGGACAGCTTCAAGTACTGTCAGTTGGCATCTCAAAAATCAAATTAGCTTTGTCTTGCAGACGTTTTGGGAAGTTTCCTGTGTTCCTTGATGTCTTACACAGTCATTTGGAACATGTGCTTTTAAACCTTTGCAGCTGTAGAAGTTAATCAAATTTTGCAATTTCCAATCAGGAACTAACAGACATGGACACAAACATGGTGAAATTCAAGATTAAGCGGGCACAAGTAGAAAGAAAGTAAAAGCCAACAGAGCATGATAGCTCATCTGTTCAAACGGGGGATTAAAACACACAGGACACTAAACCTGTTGGCACAGTTGTTAAAGCAAATTCCTCATGTGCATGCATCGCCATGCCTTCAAACTTTGAACATTGATGTATTTATTTATTCGTATTGTTTGACAGGACAGCAGGGCTTTTGCTGTGGTTGAATTGTGTTGTTTGTTTTTCTCAGCTTGAGGGAGCAGACACAGATGACTTTGAGGCTATTAATGCCGCAGCCTTCCTGCTGTCCACCGAATCCAGTAAGACCATCTTCATCGCTGTGAAAGATGATGATTTGCCTGAAGCCGATGAGACGTTTACCTTCAACCTTAAACTTCAGGTGAATGCCACTTTTATTTGTCTACAAGATTTCTGTGTGTGTTGATGATTTGTTTAATAAAGTTCCATTATTTGCTTTGCAGAATTGAAAATTACGCACTTAAATGCTAGATGGGCATTTTTCTTCCAACTGAGCCCGGTCCCTTGCTGTCTTGATAGATAACCACAGCTCCTGAGCAGCTTGAGATAAACCCTGGGTGGCTCAGGTCGGCAGGGTCTTTGATGTTGCTGCTCTGTAAGACATTTGTAATGCTGGTCTGAGCGGGACCAGTAATTGTGATGCCCTTAATTAAAACGTACTTGTGAAAAGAAACCACACTGACAAAAAAGTGTCAGCAGCTATTAGAATGATGTTAAAATTTATAAGGTTTTTGAGTATTGTTGTCAACCTAATGAGGTATTTTTATTCCAGTTTCTGTTCTTGTTATCACAGACTTGCCCTTAAGTAAAAAACACCACTTAATCAGAATTGATATGTAAATCCATTAGAGATGTGTCTACCACAAGATTAAAACAAATGGACAGATGCCATGTAAATGGAGTTCTATTTAATTTAATTAAATTTTTTGGCACTTACTAACTAATGACATTTTCAAGGTTAATTGAATTTTAAAAAAATGTGGGTATACAATGTAAACTATTGTAAGAGAAGTCCCCATAACAGCATAGGATGCCTTTTACGCAGAGACGGTCTCCATGGTTTCACGCAGCCTTTAGCTGTCAAGACTGATTGATGAGCTGGTGTGGGGCTTTTTTTGTTGTCAGCCCATCTTACACCTCAAAGACTTAAGAGTCACTGTGGATCACAGATTGCCTCTGTGCATTTCCAAAAGTAACTCTTAACAGCTGGTGGCAAGAGTGTCTTTTTATTTTTAGTTCAAAGCTGGTTAAACATCTGGTTTAAAATCCAGTAGCACAGGCCCATATTTAGCCTGCCACTCCAGTGAAAGACAAAATGAGGCCCATTTACAGAGTCTGTTTACACTACAGCTGAGACAAAGCCTGTACCAAATGCTCGCCTATCACCTTACTGGAGGGCTGTCTGATGGATGTTTGTGTGCTGGAAAGGGGTCATAGATCATGCCACTATCTGAAATAAAGAGTTGATCCAGGGACATTTATCATTCCTGGCAGTTACATCTGCTTCAGTTGCAAAGATTTCTCATAAAAATGCTAAATATGCTACAGACTTTATCAAGTGCAAGAGAAAAGAATACAAATATTTGGTAGGTTGTTGTTTATTTAACAGTACTGGTTTTTAAGAAAGCAAGTCTTTTTGTCACTGATTTATTTATTTCTAATCTCTCTCTATATGTGTGAATAGCTTTCTGGCTTGCTCAGTGACTTGATTTTGTAAGAGCGTGTGTGCTCTTTGTCTGTGAGCTGACCTACGACAAGGGCTTAGCATCAGAAAGAAGGCAGCCGAAAAGGTGCCTTTTGAATAGAGGGATGGAAAAGAGGCTGCATACTGTCTTGCTTTATATTCAGTCTTTTGCATGCTGACACCATAATGCTGACAGATGCATTCACTTTGTGGTTTTGGTAAGGATTTTCAGCTTAATAAAAAAAAAAAGATTTTTATTATCATGCAGAATTTCCATAATAAATTGCTTACATGGTCATTGATCATCATGTGTTATTTTAATATATTGTATGAGGATTGAAGAAGTTTTGGTGATCTTTAAATTTGAGAGTTTAGCCAAGTGGAAAGAAACACAGTTGGTCCATTGGGTGCTTTTGAAAACATTTGTATGCTGACTAAACTGGGTGAATGTTGCAGTAAATTAAGCATCCATGTTTTTCTCTTTTAAAAGGAAAGACCAGTTTATCATTTTAAAGCTCATATTAAAATCCAAGCATGCTGCTAACTTAGGTTTGTCAGTTTTGAAAGCTGAATGACAGAACACAGAGCAAACAGGTATCTTGCAGAAAGATAGCCTGACAAATCGACCAGGCTGAAAGCAGCACTTCCTGTCTTTGTGTCCTCTCACCAGGGCTGCACAGTGGGAGCATAGGAATGAAGATTAGACAGTGGATAAGAGAGATCCTCTGGCTTTTCACATGAGCTTTGGGATTTACTTTCTGGGGGAGGTTAGAGGGAAATGACCGTAAACATTGTATATTTGGAGAGGTTTTAATTAACTATTCAAATTTTCCCATCTTTTCAGAGTTCCTCTAATGGTGTGACACTGGGAACACCAAACAAGGCGACAATCACCATCCTGTCCAATGACAATGCCTTCGGAATAATTGCCTTCAACTCAGTAAGAAACCCATCATCTGATTGTTAGCTTTACTTTATGGTGTTTATTCTTAATTTGGTAATTGAATTATACTGGAATTACAAATGTAAATATGGTTTTGTCATTCCTGCCTTTAAAAATCAAGTGAAAATTTTGTTTGGGGTAAACTGACAAAGGATCTGTTTTTCTGTCTTCATCCTAGACAGAAGAGATTGTTGTTGATGAACTCAGACAGAGGAGCCATTTTGTGCCTTTCACCCTAATCAGAGAAAAGGGAACATATGGGACTGTGACTGTGAACTTTGAGGTGAGTGGATGATGTTTATGCCTTCACCAAACCTGGAACACTATTTGTTGGTATTTCTAGATTCACAATATTAGAGATGTATCTTTGATGGACAGGCTTAGATTTTCTTTCAGAAAAGGCCTTTGTTACTTCATTCCATTGATTTAGGAAGATAAAACATTTTAAACATAGTAACAATGAATTAAAAACAATTTATAGAACATTAGAGTCAAAACAGACAATTTACTGTGGCTGATTTTCGTGCTTCCATTGTAGATCTCTGATGGTCCCAACCCTGCCATTGAGGATCTTAGTCCAGATAGAGGGAACATTACCTTCCCTGTAGGACAGGCAGTTGTCCACTTTAATATTCTCATTCTGGATGACCAGGTAAGTACTTCTCATTCTCACTCCCAAATAATCTAGAATCATTTCCAAATTTCTTTCCATCAATGTCTTCAACCTCGCATTTCTCTAATTGACACGTATGAAATGTTAATAAAAAAGGTCAATAAAAGATAGACTTACACTACGATTATGTATTTTTGTCTTCAAAGTCAACAGTATTTTCTCAAATCTAGAACATTTTCAAAACACTTTTTATCCTCTTAATTGTGTGGTGCTCGTTCTGTGAAACAGGTGCCAGAGGAGGATGAAGTGTTTTCAGTGAGGCTAACAGGCGTGGCAGGTGGAGCCCTTCTCAGGACCAATGCCAGCAGTATCCAGCTGAGAATCCGGCGAAATGACAGCCCTCTGCGGTTCTCCCACTCTGTCTTGGCTGTGCCAGAGTCTGCTGGAGTTATTGCCCTCAATGTGACCCGTGGGCGACTGACTGAGGATGGCCCACTCATCGGCTCTGTTGACACAGAGGTCCGCCTTTTATTCATCCATTTATTTGTTTGGATCTTTGCATGTTGAATCCTTCACAATTATTATACAATTATGATTCAGAGAAATATAAAGCGAAAAACGTTTTTAACGTCTTTAAATAAACTACCATGTCTTTAGGTCTCCATAGATTACATGGTGCTGAGTGGTGATGGACTGGGTAGTGCCACTCCAGCTGTGGATTTCCTCGACTTACAACCAGTCCGAACGGTCACATTCTCTCCATTTGTTTACAAAACCACCCTCCTGTTCAACATCACCGATGATGACATGCCAGAAATAGCAGAATCCTTCCATCTTGTGCTGCTGGAGGAGACTATCAGAGGAGATGCTGTACTGGTATCACCCAATGCTGTGCTGGTGACCATCGAGCCCAATGATAAGCCTTATGGAGTCCTGTCAATTAGCAGCAGTGCTCTTATTCAGCCAATCATCATCAATGAAGATCTGATACAGAGGTAGAAAAATGAGACACCTTTTCTTTAAAAAACTATGTTTTAAGCATGAGGGAAGATATAACAACAGAGAATTCACATCCTGGATTGTCTCTCCCTCAGATTTGATGGCATCATTATTGTAAGAAACGGAGGAAGCTACGGCACTGTGTCGGCTAACTGGTCCATAACCAGAAACTCCAGTGATCCCTCATCAGTGTCAGTGGATTTGAGCCCAGAAGAGGGGACAGTGAGATTTGCTGCCGGTCAAGTGACCGCCGTGATTCCGATAAACATTGTTGCAGATGACCAACCTGAGGAAGCAGAAGCCTTTCTTTTCAAACTACTGCCGAGCACCGTAACTGGAAATGCAGAGGTCGATGAACCCATGGAGGTCAGTTTAGAGGAGATTGTTGTAATGTGTGTGAGAGATTTCTTTTTAAAGCTAGACCCATTAGAGAACACATCCAGTAGAAAATGTGTTATGCATGTGTGTGGCTTTGTGTAACCTACTGTAAGCCGCAGATACACACTTGGCACACTGTGCAAAAGTCGACCCCTTGGTGCGTAACTTTTCTCTGTGGGTGTTCCTTTAATGTGGCTAAATCAAAACAAAGCGGAAACAGCAGGCACACTCTGTGTGTGGGGGCTCAGTGTTTTCCTTTAAAAGTGGGTGAAGGGGTGACAGGTTTTTATGGCTTCCATTTCAGTTCCAGTCATGTGTGAAAGCAGTGGACGGATCTAAGTCTTGTTTATCTTAAAGACATAAGATGTCACGCACAAACAAACACCAGAGTTGAGCTCTCAGAGGTCTGGGCCTGTTTGCCATCTGTGCAGAGCAATTTGTCTCAGCAGAGGATTAATTAAGAATAAACAAATAACTTCAAGAGTTGTTGCCAAAATTGCAAAAAGGATGTATACAACAGAAAACTAAATACAAATTACAATTAGCTGTGAATGTCCTGTCATGAATGTGTCAGGCATTCTTAGTGGAACTGCCTGAGGGAAACGAATAAGCCACATTTTAACGCTTACGGAAACTACTGAAGCAGCCCTAGCAGGGTTAATTAAAGAGGATGCCTCTCTAAAGTTAGCTCAGGGTTCTAGTTTACTACTTTGAGTCTCGTGTTTTTTCTTTTCCCTTTCAGTTCCCTACCTCTCTTTTTTTCTCCTTATTACCAAGATGCAATCTTAGTAACACATAAACAGGAAACACAACAAAATCTCCAATATAATTTATGGTAAATCCCTGCTCCATTTTAATTACCCCCTCAAAAGATCCATCCACTCATTCCTGCACAGGCCCAGAGGCAGTCCTACGTAGGCAGAAAGAATGTTTACGTGATAGTAGAAAATAATCAATGTTTAGTCTATAATGAAAAAAGACAACATCAGGCTTAACATAATTTTTCATGTTTGTCGTAGAAAACACCAAACATCAGACTTCTGGGTAGTGAAATCCCCCATACCTGCACGTTCGATTATCTCCCACAGAGAAAACTACTAGTGCCTGAAGGTCTTGGACATGTTCTCACGCAATCCAAAATCTTTTCCTTATCAGACATACAGTACTTCAGTCAGTGCCTCAGTCCAGCTCCAGTGCACACATACAGGGAAAACGACAAAGGTCCAGTTGAATGACCCAGTTGAGCTCACCACCACTCAGCTTTGCATGTCGCCACTCTGTTTATTTTCTACAGGGCCGTGATTCATTTGTCAAATACATTACTTGAATTGTTTTTCCTCAATACTGATTTAAATTTATTCCTGCTGTTTTTTTCTGACATTTCTCCATGCTTTCCCAAGATGGTGTTCTACATCCAGGACAGTGACGATGTATATGGGCTTTTTCAGTTTGACCCAGCCAAGGAGCAGAGCATCCAGAGCCAACCCGAGGGACGGTTCTTGTCGCTAAATTTTGTGAGAGATGGTGGCACACTGGGTGATGTGTCTATGACCCTTACCGCCCTCTACATTCCCGCTGGTCCAAAAGATCCAGCACTGGCCCGTGACCGGGTTCTAAATGTTAGCAGGACTGTTAATGTGGTGTTTACCAGAGAGCGGATGGTCCATGTCACAATGCCCATAAGAAACGATGCTTTTCTGCAGAACGGAGCCAATTTCCTAATACAGGTAACAAGACTGAAGACGAGATGATTTTTTTCTTCTGCTGCCAGAATTGAATTTTGACAAGAACTTTTTGCTTGGACGTCTAAAAACGCCTTTCTTCTGTTTATGCCTCCACTCCTGTCTAAATTAGTGCAATCCAAGCTTTAAGTGTCTCATTTGCATGTGTGAACAGGTTGACATTGGCACTCAGGTCTGGCATGGTTCTATGGGATTTTTCTAACTGTCCAAACAAACATGAGCTGGTCCTGAAAGCTGGCACATAAGTACCAGAGAAGCCTTCTTGACATTCTATAGAACCACAGTCACTTCACACGCTTCTGGCTTCAGTACTTTACCACATACATGTCCACATGTAAATGAAGTGAGCCAGCTTGAAAAGTGGCAGAACAGAAACGATCATATTTGTAACGCAATAACAACTGCTCTTACATATTTGTCTGTCTGAACCTTCTGCACTTTGAATTGCCTCTTCTGTTTTTTTTAGTTGAATACCCTGGAGCTGATTGACATCAGTCCTTTAATTACAACAAACAGCCCGAGGTTTGGTGGACCTCTAAACCTGACCCTAACTGTTACCTCCGACATTGCAAATGGAGAAATCGGCTTTACAAGTAACTCTACAGTGATTCTTTATGAACCAGAAGACAGCAATACCAGCATGGTGAGACACTGATATTCGTCTCTAGCCAGCATGCTGCCAACCAGCTCTGATGAGAAGTCCTTAAAGTGTTTGTGCGTATGTTTTGGAGGTTCATACTCTCTACATTCATTGCAGGTGACTCTTCCTCTGCGACGTGATGGAACGGATGGGAAGGCCATGGTGTTTTGGAGCCTTCAGCCAACTGGAGACAACCACAGGGATGTAACAACTAATGACCTGAAGCCGCTAAATGGCTCCGTTGTCTTTCTCACTGGGCAGAGTGATGCCTTCATCAATCTCACCATCATGGCTGACGACATCCCCGAAGTCAACGAAACCTTACGCCTCACCCTGGATAGGTGGGGAAAAAAGGAAGCTACTCAATATTATGGTTTATGCCTAAATATAATAAGCATTGAGGCATATGAGGCCTACACAGGCACCACAATATTCTATTGTCTTGTCTTGAGGGGTGCTTTTGAGCATATGTATACAAGAAATGTGTCTTTGCACTGGACTGAACATTCCAGTCCTCTATGTTGTACTCGTGAAACGTGTGTGCAAGTCGTGGAGGGTGAGTTCATCTGTTTGTGCGTATTCTGATGAGAACGGTGGCTTTCTCTCCCACCCACTCCTCCGTTGCAGGGTGGAGACTGCACGCTTTATAGTGTACTTTGGGTAAGTGGAGAGTGAAGTGAACCTGAGCTCTTTATGTTGCCTGAATTACGTCTTTGTTATTCAAAGAAGGGCCTACTTCAGAATTTCTGGGGTCTTTGGTCGACGTGGGGATGGGGAGGATTCTGCAGTGGTGTGAAAAAACTGGATTTAGAAAAGGGGTGTTTTTATCGAGGCTAAATAACAGAAACCTCTTTATGTGTTTTTGCCCCATTTTAAGCAGCCTTGATCATGTCGTCTTTTAAAGATGGCAGTGTTTGTATGCATGCGGCGGCTTAGCTGTGACTGTTTGGAGTGCTTCGGTCTGTCTTTGTATGTCATGTCTTTGTAATGCCCATTATATTATGCTTGCTTGGCTCCAATTTTCTCAGCATACACACATATACACACCCCTGTGGAGTTTTAAAGATTCAGACACGCAGTTGATTGACATTGTTATTAAAAGTGGTTTAAACAGCAGGGGTTCACCATATGGAGTTAATAATGACCATCACACAATACAAGGAATGCATTGAGAAGTTAAAGTTCAAGTTGAGCTCTTCAGCTATTGTTATTACACTTGAAAGTTTTTTGTAGTCAGAGCCGTCATCTGCTCCACCTCAAAGCTGCTGCAAATTGGAATAAAAATGTATGACACAATCATTTCTGACCACATCTTCTGCGATATTCTTTATCCATAATCACCTATTGATATGGTCTGATGACGTGTATGTGCTGATATCTGCTCTGATTTGTGTGTTTTCGCATCACAGGAGCAATGTTGAGAATCAGATCCTGAAAGCAGGCTTCACCAGCAGAGAGATTATCATCATGGAGAACGATGACCCCGGAGGAGTGTTTGAATTCTCCCAGTTCTCCAGAGGTCCATGGCTTATTAATGTAAGTCATAGGTGCAGTTGCAGTGCCTTTTTTTTGCCAATTTGTCAAAAGAAATAAAGTCTATTTAAACATTATCCAAAACATATGCTGCCCTGAGAGCCCTGAGAGCCCAAAGCTGTTCATGTTGAAGGATTTTTACCCCCTAACTGATAACAAATATTCAAGTATTTGTAACCAATTTTTAAAGAATCTTTGTATTCCTTTCTCTCCCTGACATGCTGATAAACTCAGGAGGGTGAAGCTGTGGAACTGCATGTGATAAGGGCTCAAGGCCAGCTTCTGAAGCAGCTGGTACGATATGCTGTCATGCCTTCGGGCAGCACTGAATTCTACGGTGCTACAGGTATCCTGGAGTTTAAACCTGGAGAACGAGAGGTGGTGGTTGCGCTGGTCGCAAAGCCTGATGGGATACCTGAGGTGAGGCTACCTTATTGATTTCATTTGGTTCATTTCGTCATCATAAAAATATTTTATGGTCATCCAACTTCTTTTCTCCACAGAGTCCAGTTTAGCTGAATTAGAATGACTTTTTGAAGTTTTAGCTTCAGAGGTTTCCCTCGTATGACTCAAGAAATGTGCAATACCGAGAAGTTCGTATCATTATTTTATCTTCTTGTTTTACAAGTGTGTGTGTGTGTTTCTGTGTCTGTCGATGAATGCAGCTGGACGAGACTTTTTCTGTGGTGCTTAGTAGCTACAGTACTCCACCCAGTCGTCTGGGCAACCACAGGGAGGTCAACGTCACAGTGCGGAAAAACGACGACCCTTTCGGAGTCATTGAGTTCATCCAATCAGGACTGACAGCGGTCATCAATGAGAGCAGGGGCACCTCAGAGCACCAGGGTACTTGATATTGAAGTGACACTTTGGACTTATGTTACAAAACAGGAATGAGGACAGCACCCAAGAACATGATCTCTGTCTAATTTCCTTCTCCTTTAGCTGTGTACGCTGTTGTGAGGAACAGGGGCCACTTTGAAGAAGTGTCAGTATTTTGGAGTGTGGAGCCGGCCCTGTCCGGAGATGTTAGGCCCCTCCAGGGAAACATCACCTTCAGGGAAGGGGAGTTCTTGAAAAACCTCACTCTCATCTCTGTGCCTGATGAGGTAAAATTTTAATTTGAACACATATATCCATGCAGCCAACAATTGAGTTATATTTCCCTGTTTCAGATTATTTAACTTTTCTATATATATCATTCAAGATTCCAGAGGACATGGAGAATTTCACCATCACGCTGTTCAATGCTACAGGTGGAGCAAGACTGGGAAACATACTCAGTGCCAGTTTATGGATTAATAAGAATGATGACCCCATTTACTTTTCTGGTAATCTATCTATCTATCTATCTATCTATCTATCTATCTATCTATCTATC